TGCTCGTAGTCCTACGGGAATTTTCCTTTGTCAACGCAAATATGCGCTTGATATTATCTCTGAGGCTGGTCTTCTTGGTGCCAAACCAACTAGCACTCCATTAGAGCAAAATCACCATTTGTCCTCAGACGCTGGGCCACTTCTTGATAACCCGGAGCGTTATCGTCGCTTGGTTGGGCGCCTGATCTATCTTTGCTTCACCCGTCCTGAGCTATGTTTTAGTGTGCACACTTTATCTCAGTTTATGCAGCAACCTCATACTGTGCACTGGGACGCTGCTCTCCGGGTGGTTCGCTTTCTCAAAGGCAATCCAGGACAAGGTATATTACTTTCAAGTAGCTGTGATCTCCAGCTTCACGGGTGGTGTGATTCTGACTGGGCTAGTTGTCCTCTTACCCGTTGCTCCGTGACTGGTTGGCTTGTCCAACTGGGCCAATCTCCCATTTCGTGAAAAACCAAGAAACAACATACTGTCTCACGCTCTTCAGCTGAAGCTGAATATCGCTCCATGGCCACAGCTACTTGTGAGCTCAAATGGTTAAAAGGGATTCTTTTTGATCTTGGCATTGCTCACCCCAAACCTATGGTCCTTCATTGTGATAGTCAAGCGGCATTGCACATTGCCAAAAATCTGGTGTTTCATGAACGCACCAAACATATTGAAGTTGACTGTCATTTTGTCCGCAATGAGGTTCTACAACAGAATATCCTTCCCACTTATGTCTCTACAATAGTACTTCTCGCAGACATCTTCACCAAGGCGTTGGGCAAACCTCAGTTTGAGCTCTTGATGAGCAAGTTGGGCATTCTGAATCTTCATGCTCCTACTTGAGGGGGGTAATATTGTAACAAATTGTTGCTATAACAAATTGCTGTTAACAATGCTTAGCAAACAGTTTGTTATTTAAATTCAAGCTGTTATAGGAGTTGTTATTTTAGATTTATTATATCGGTTAGAATTGTTAAATTTTCCAGCAACAACTTCATGTATTTATACAGCATATTATTGAGAAATACAACATCGCAGAAAATTATTTTACACCTTCGTTATATTAGTGCGGTTTATCCTCCTTACTACTGGTGATATTTTTTTTTATTTATTTCTTAAAAAAGGAGAAAGGTTTTGAATGATAAATTTTCTTAAGATTCTTAGTGGGGATTCACATACTATCCATGAAAGTTGGATTATAATCATTGTTATTACTCGCATTTGTATTTTAAAACGATCAGGATCTTTGCCTCTTCTTTTTTTAACGCAGATCATCGGTTATCATTTGAGTCCACGAGAAAACTTTACATTAGCTTATCAAACATGGTACGTTGAATTTCTTTTTAATGTTTTTCAGATTCAAAGTATTTTCCACTTGTACTTTTGTATACAGAAATTTTAAAACTTAGAGTGGATAAATGACATTGGCTAATTTAGGTAAATTTTTTCTCAAAGGTTACAAATAAATTATGCTTTGATTTTTTTTAGGCTCTCATTCAAATACTCTAAATTTGGTTTAAATAATATTTTAATTTTTATACTGACTTGAATTTATAAGATAGTTCTTATACATAAAAAAAATTTACAAATCAATCATTATACATATATTTATTTTTTATTTAGTCTCTACCGTTAAGTTTAGAGTAAACGACATTAAATAAATAAATAATTAAATTAAAAATAAATATAATATAATGATTGATTTACATTTTTTTTTACATATATGGAGTAACTCACAAAATTTTACAACCAGAAACTAACTTACAAATTCGAGTTAAAAATATTTTTATAAATTTGTGATACATTTTTGGTTTGTATTATGATTTTACGATTCATCCACACTCTTTCATTCTCTTCCACCTCTAATTTCACCATCTTTATTATTATTATTCTTCTTCTTTATAAACTTTAATAGAAGCTATAGTTTCTTTTTCTTTTAGTTTTTCATCCCTGAAACTCAATCGACTCTTAACAATCTTTAAATATTTTCTTCTTTTTTCAACCACTTCACCATTTTCATCCTTACTCTCACCCACACTTACCAACTCTAAACCTCAATCCATCGTTAAAACATTTTTCTCGAATGCACCCTCATCAATGTTACTAGCACCAGAATTATCAACACATTTATTTAGACTCTATCCACTCCTTCAACACTATCAAAATCAGATATAAATCAAAGTTGTATATCATAAAATCATAATACAAACTAAAGGTGTATCACAAATTTATAAAAATACTTTTAACTCGAATTTGTAAGTTAATCTTTATATGTAAAATTTTGTAAGTTAGTTCTTATATGTAAAAAAATTATAAATCAGTTTTTATACTACGTTTATTCTTAATTAAGTCTCTTACTTATTTAACGTCGTTTACTTTAAATTTAATGACAAGAATTAAATTGAAAATAAATGCATGTATAAAGACTAATTTACTAATTTTTTACATATAAAAACTAATTTATAAATCTAAATAAGTATAAGGACCAAAACATTATTTAAACCGTCTAAATTTTGAGGAGATAAATTTATTTCTAATAGAGTTTTATTTATTTTTTATACTGATTTTTTTATAAGGATTTTTTTTAGAAATTTGTCCAAGTGGCCTCATTCTTTTGTCAACTTGCTTGATAGTTTTGGCATTTGTCCATTTTATGAGAATGATGGGGTTGCATTAACCTCTTTTTAAGGATTCTGACGAAGGTAACTGGGATGAAGAGGATGTGCTCTTTGCAAATGCTTATCGTTGTTTCCCTGCCTCTTTTATTGGAAAGGTATGATCACTGATGTCACCTGATGCATAACTAAGTATCCAACCTCTATTTCAAACTAAAGTTTTTCTCATCATCATTTGAAATATGGTGTAACTTAATTTTTTAATGCTTATGCTTGTTTTTGCAGTCTAATTTGGAGGACGGTGATAAAAGTATGTATACCAATAGCTTACATTTTATTCTTTGATATGAAATGTCCATGATGTTTTGATAACTATTCATGCCTATAAATTTGCATATGCTAACTCTTTTTGCTTCCAGTTATCATGCCCCCTTCAGTCCTTAGAAGCCTTGGTAAGTCTATATATATTTGTCTGGTTTTAACGATTTGGTTCATTCTTCTCTCCTGCTAAATTAGTTGGTTTATGCATGTGAAACCCTTTCAGCATTTTCGGAAATAGAGTACCCCATGTTATTTGAACTGGGATGTTCTTCTCGTGAAAGAGTTACTCACTGTGGGGTCCTAGAATTCATTGCTAATGAAGGGTGCATATTTGTGCCAAAGTGGGTATGTGATTTTCTTTCCTTCTTTGTTCATATTTATTTCTTTCAACCAATGGATTGGTCATTTTTGTTCACAACTTCCATGTTCTGCTGTTGTTATTGTCAGATGATGGAAAATATGCGCCTAGAAGAGGGAGAAAGTGTGAGTCTGAGAAGCGCCAGCCTTCCAAAAGGAAAATTTGTGAAGCTGCAGCCTCGCACCACTGACTTTATGGATATCTCCAATCCAAAAGCCATGTACAAATACAACATAGAACCAAATTTAAGTGTTATTACTAGGTGTTGTCAGCAATAACATTAAATGTAAACTTTTTATTAAAATAAAAAAAATTAACTTTAATTGGTAAATAACGTTAACATTTATAAAATAAGTTTTGTCCATATTTGACAAATCTCATAATTGTGTGTCAATTAATATTCTCACTCTTTCCCTTGGTTATTTTGCAGCTTAGAGACTTCACTGAGGAGATACTCGTGTTTAACAACCGGTGACACTAATGATTTCTTATAACAAGAAGAAATATTACATTGATGTAGTTGAAACAAAACCCTCGCCTGCAATCTGTATAATTGATACTGACTGTGAAGTTGAATTTGCCCAACCTCTTGACTATAAAGAACCTGAGAAACAGTTGCCATCAGGTTGTGATTCTTTTATTTTCAGTTGGAATATGCTTTCTGTAGTGTAAAGTTCATTAGGAGATTCTGATTGTTTACATTCTTTTTACAGTTCATGAAGAACCAGCAACAAAGACTACCAAGATCATTCCATTTACTGGTTCTGGAAGACGTTTGGATGGAAAAGCCTCAACAGAATCAGTTGAACAAGCTTCCTCATCAAAGCTAAAGCACCAACAGACTGAAAATGAAACCAAGAGTTCCAATTCTAAACCATCGAATACTGCTTCATGTAGACCTTCTGGAAAGCTTGTGTTCGGGTCAAATGCAAATGCACCCCAGATTCAGACACCAACAAAGGTGAGTTTTATTATCTGTGGTGATCTTTGTGGAGAAAGTGACTTGATCTTAACCTATGGTTCAATGAAGGATTTACCCAATTATTCTGTTATTAGGCTTCTCTGAACACGAGTGAAGAGTCACCTCAGAAGGCAGAAGAGCCAAAATTTCAAGCTTTCACCGGAAAGAAATATTCATTAAGAAGTTGATTCTTGTTAGGCTACTTTTCTGTTTTCTTCCCCCCATCCTTTCGATATAATTTTTTTGGTCCAACATTTACTTAATCAAGTTGAAATTTCAATTAGTAACCTCATTTTTATTAGTAACCTTGCAATTAAAATTTTAAAATCGTGCCTTGATTCATAAGATCGAATGTTGAAATAACCCTTCTACGCCAAAATGTTTTTCATTGCATAAAAAAGATTTGGATTGTGAAAACAGAACATAAACATAAGTTACTTAGTCGCAACTTATAACCTAAGGTACCAATTACAAGTGGACACATCCTTACGCGATTTATGTATTAAAGAAAGGACGTATTTTGAGATTTTATACAAAGAGGACATATTTAAACTTCTACTAATTTTGACCCGTAGATAATATAGAAGAGAGATACACACGGTGTCGCAGTTCTTCAAGCAATATTACATCGTTGCATCGAAAGAAAGACAAAAAATTGAATAAAGATTCATATTTCAATATATATCAAATTTAAATAACAATTAAAATTACAATTATCTAAGAGGTGCCAATACAAATACAAATACAAATTCTATGCTATGCTTTTACTGATGTTTCAATAGCAACTTTGTACTGGACAATTTCATGTTTCTCGTCGGAATCCCAAAGCTCTGGAAACGCCTCCCTGACATTATGGATACACTCCAATGCATGATCCACTCCTGTTGCACGAACAGATGTACCCACCTGCATCCACGTGGCATTTGGATTTGACATTTAATTTTATTCGTATTGTACCAAACTATATTACTTAATTTAATTCTGATTATGTTACTTTACTTTAATTCAATTTAATTTAATGTTCCATTCCACTAACTACATCAGATGTCGCATAAAATATGGTTCCTGTAACTGATATTTCATTACTTACAGCGACTGTGTGGAGGCCCAAGCGTTTGGCTGTTACTAAATTGCGGAAGCTGTCATCAAAGAACAGCTGCAAAGAACAAAAACAATAAAAGCAAAAACAAGTAAATACATAAAGTCTTTTATCACAAAAAGATGTCTGAAAAATAGAAACAAAAATGACCAATTTAGCATGATGATAATAGTGCCCTTTGGTATTATTTAATGACTATTTAGGATCGTGTAAATATAAAAATATTTGTCCTTAGTTAGCAGTTGTTAAAAGTGTACACTAAAAATTTGAGACAAAAGAAAACAGAATATTAAAGAGGGAAGTGTCCACATTCATACTGTTCTTTGAGGATCAATGTTTGCCAACTTGAAAACGTTTTCAAAAGCATCATCAAAGGGTTTGCAGACAACTGGGGTCCTTGGGAGCACCACATCTGAATCAGGTTGGCGTATGTGCTCATAAAAGTCAAAAATTCCCGAGGTGATTGGTGTGGTTTCACTGCCATCTTCATCACAAGAAGGATCAATGTTGTTGGAAGAATTCAGAGTATCAAAACTTATAATTTTTTCAAAGCAGTCCTCCAATCCAAGGCTTTGAAGTGCTCTAAATGCATGCTTTGAGTCTGCATTTGTAAAAATCTGAAAAGGGAAACCAAGAGTAGATGTCATAAATACGTCATAGTGAAGAAAAACTTCCTCTTAATTAGGTACTATTTTAATCATTACAAAATAAAACACGAACTTACAATTTTCCTAATCGGCAAGCTTTGCAGAATGCTCCTGAGAACAGGGTCTGGTTTCAGCAACATATTATATGGCAATCTCCCATGAACAAAACTGTTCAATACAATAAAAATGTCTATTGCACACGGTTTGAGCTTTATTGAAAGGAATGGTCAAATAGAAAATTGGACAAAAAATACGTATGTCAACAAATTACCTGTGAAAGTCATCATAGTCAAAGTCATAGCCAATTGCCTGGCGAGAGGACAAGATACATCATTAAACATCATTTCTGCATTAAAAAAAAATGTTTCTAATACAATTCACTAAGAGGTTAATTAAAGCTTACCTTTAGACCAGCCATTGTTGTCCCATAAGTCTTATATAATGAATGGCATAATTCGGGAACTTCAGCAGCCTCCATCCCAAGCTTTTGAAGCATAAACTCTGCAATGAGCACAATATTTTATTAAAAAAATGTTCAGCTTCAATACCAGGCAATTTTTCACACGACCGAGCCCTCACATATAGAAGGCTCACATGTGGTAAATTCATCACCTTGAATGTTTTTTGCTGTTTGGGCTGACATTCCAGAACACAAAGGATAAAGGGTGTCGTCAAGATCTGAAATTATCAAAACAAGTTATACATAACCTAGGCAGAATAATGAAGAATGCAAGGTAGAAATTTAGCATTGGTCGTGAGGGTTACCAAATGAACAATTCAAAATTTCCTTCACATTTATTTTTTTTAAAAAAATCTTTCCATTAAATATATTTTATGCTTGTAAAAAAATATATTAGCATTTTTTAATTTAACGATTAATACAATAATTAAAAGATTATGAAGAGAATAAATAGTAGAAAAGGAAGTAGCCGTTTACCAAATAAAAGACAATCATATTTTGCCTTTGATGCTTCCTGGAACTTATGCCCGCCTTCCATTTTGACCTGACTTTAGTGGACCTAATTACAAATGCAAAGGTAAAAAGCACACTCAGTGTGAAGAAATAATAATCCCCGAGACAGACACATGAAATGAAACCGCATATTAGTTCCAAATATGCATTTTAATACCCAAAAAAAATCAAATTTAACATTGATGAAAACAACTAAAAATGCTCACACAGAGATTGCAGATTAAATAATAATAATTTTTTTATAATTTATTATTATTATGTCCAAATCAAAATGAACATGGTAAAGAAAAGTTCCAATATGAGCAAATAAACGAGAAACAACTAGGACGTCGCCAACAAACGATTTCAGAAACTGGGCAATGATTGAAAGCGAAAAAGTTTTGTTTTATACGGAGGAAAAAAAGTGGGGGGGTGGAAAACAGTTCGATAATGTTACAGTAAAAGCGAAATAGATTCAGAAATGGGCAAATTGAAGGACGAGGCATTGAAAAGCAAGAGAGAATAACAACTTACTGCAAGAAGAGAGCGAAAGCAACAGAACAGAGAGAATGGAGAACAGAGGGAATACTGAGGAGACGAGATTTTAAACAGAAAACAAACGTTGAACGGAAAAAATAATCGCGTTTGATCGTTGAGTCGTAACTTGTCAACGACGACGTTTTATTTAATTTGAGTTGAAGATCTAGAATCCAATTAATAATAAAAACATCCAATACTTTCCGTTTCAAGCCATCCCTTTCTGACTTCAATCATGTGATTCGGCTCTATTAACAATTCCCACGTTCTTCACTTCTTCTTTATATAATAATAATAATAATACTTCATTAACAGTTACAACTACCATAGTACCCTACCATCTGCGTCTGCTTTTTTTTTTCTTCAAAATTTTTTAAAATACCTATGTCTTTAAAATACTAATAATAAATTAAAATTAATTTTTTCTGTAAAATATGAATTTGGTTCAATTTTTAATGTTTTGGAAAAGAAGTAATAATAAGGAAATGAGACCTTCATTCTTACTAATTAGGATATTATTGAATTTTTACACATGCTTAAATCATAAGAAGTTTTATAAAATTAAAATTAGGTTTAATTATAATTTTCATAATCTGTATTTCAATGTATGTGTAAATTTAATAATTACTCACATTTAGTTCTTCTAATTTTTTAAATATTTAAATTAAATCTTATATTTTAAATTTTTATTCAATAATTAATAAAATATATTTTTATTAATTTATATAAATAAAATGTATAAATATTATAAAAGAATAATTTTGACATGAAGAACTTGATTTAAACATTTGAAAATTAAAAAAATTAAATATAAATAATTATAACTTAAGAGATTAAAATCTCACATAGGTTAAGAAAGGAATAGAAATCAAAAGTACAACTGTACATGTATCATACAAAACTTTAATTAGTTTCGAAAGTGTTATAAGCTGCCTTCTTAATAAAGGCTAGATTTTTTTTCCCCGAATATTTGACCATTTATATTAACATATCTTGACTTCAGTTTTATTTCATCACATTTTACTTCCAGGCTTTAATAATAAATAAATAAACTACAAGTATAAAAAAAAATGTATATTTTATTTTCATTTTTAAGTTCTAATAATCACGCGTCTTAAAAAAGAAATGTTCCAATAATCACGATATGTGAACGGTACGTGTGAACTTAGGAAAGAAGAAATATATGTATATATTTTTTTTAAAATTTTAATAACCTGCGTGAACTATGTGCCAAAAAAACTGTGAACTCCTAAACATAAATTATATTTTTATTAAAAGCAATCAATCATATGGATTATCACTTGAATCATATCATTGATATTACTTAATTGAAATTAAAAGAACAAGACCAAAACAATAATTAATGTTAAATTAAAATTCACGTTTCCACTTATTTAATTTTGTTATTTTTTTCTTTTGGTCAATACTTATTTAATTTTGTTCGAATGGAAGTTTAAAACATAAGGTCTAGTATGATCACCAAACGTACTCGTTTTTGCGGTCACTGGTGACGTGCTAAATTGTTATGAAGATAGAGTATTTTGATTTTTGTTAAAAAAATACTTATTTAGGGTATGTTTATCTTCTATTTTTAAAAGAGTTTTTATTTTTTTTAAATATAGTATAAATTTATATTATATTTAGAAAAAAAATTAAAAACTCTTTTTAAAAGAGAAATTAAATTATTCTTCTAGTTTCGAAAAGTATGACATAAATTTTACTCTTTAAATATTCACTATATTAGTAAAGATGAATAAGATTAGTTATATCAGTGTCAAATTTTATAAAATAACATTTATTAAGTTTTTATCAGAATATTTTTTTCAATTTTAACATTGAATATATTATTCTAGAAAGATAGATAAAGTTTGCAAAATTAATTGATACCCTGGTGTGGATTGATCATATTCCACAATTAGTTTAGAGTTGTTCAAAATATGTGTGTTCTATTTAAATTTGTTTTATGCAGTTGTTGAGAATGATACTGTAACAAGAGCTTTAGAAAGAGCTATGGTAATTGATTGGATCTCTTCTTAGTTTTTCAATAGAATTAAGTAATTGTATTTGTAAGAAAATTGTACAACAATTTTTACAATAAAGAAAAAAATGAAAAGACAGGTTTAGTGTAAAATAGAATTTGTCAAAAGTAACCCTTTCATATTTCTTTTTTTTTTTTAATCGTTTTTGTTATAATTGAAGTGCACACAAAGATAATTAACAGGAATCCGATTCCAAACCATATATTCCTTCAAATGAAAGAAATAATATTTAGAAGAAAGTTGATGGCATAACAAGATGAACATGTACACATCTTCCAATGGTAGAATGATAATATTAGAACGTTAAGAGAATTAGTAAGGCTTGAACAACTGAGAATGGGAATTGGATTGGTCAGTCTATGGCACATCCATGTAACAAAAATCAGAAACGAATTATTTCATTGAGCAGTTGACATACAAGTTTCGATCAAGTCAGCATTTTGATGAAATAAGAAATTCATGTACAATAGCAAACAGAAACTCTTAACTATGTGGGAACAACCTGAGGCTCTAAAGGTGGAGAGCCACCACCTTCCTCAGGCGATTCAGCAGCGCTCTCTGAGGCAATTTTTTCTTCCTCCTCCTGAAAACCTTGTTTAAATCTATCATAATTGGAGAGTTCAGCAGCCTTGAATGGCCGCTCACCTAAAACTTGAACCAAGTCATCCTGATGAAGTACTTCTTTTTCAAGCAGCAGCTCTGCAATTTGAGCTACTTTTTCCTTGTGTTCCTCGACAAGCTGTACTGTGCGTTCGTACGCTTTGGTCACCCATTCCCGCACTTCGCTATCAATGATTGCAGCAGTTTTGTTGCTGTATGGTTTCGACAGCTCGTACGAGCCCTCTTTCGGAGGGAAAGAGAGGAGACCCACCTTTTCGCTGAAACCATAAACTGCTACTTGGGCATATGTCATCTTGGTCACTTTTTCCAAGTCATTCTGTGCTCCTGTTGAGATTTTCCCTATAAGAACCTGCAGTAACAATGGATGGGAACCATCACCCTCATGCTCATGCCTTTGAAGGTTGGCAAGAATCAAGCACCAGATAAGAAAAAGCCATTGAACACGACATAGAAATCAGTAATGAGATTTACAGTTGAAAAATACGCGTAATGCACATGAACATGTTAAACTTTTTCAGGAATAAGTTCTGCACTAAGTGTCATACAAGTCGTATTAAAAATCTATAAGAGAAAGACATCAGGAAAAGTCAAAAATACCTGCTCCGCAGCCCGACCACCTAGTGTCATGCAAGTCATATCAAAAAGCTGCTCCTTTGTCATCAGAAGATTCTCATTTGGAACATATTGGGCAAACCCAAGAGCTGCTGTGCCACGAGGAACAATAGTTACTTTCAGCAAGGGCTCAGCGTGTTCCAAGAACCAACCTGCAACAGCATGGCCTGATTCGTGGTAAGCAACAGTGCGCCTTTCCAGCTTGCTTATTACCTGGATAAGAAACATGAGTATGAGAGACTCTAACAAGGTAATGGAAAAAGTAGAATGAGAATTCCAAATTTCAAATAGTTCAACATTTTCAATTCAATGTAGTGAACAAGTTTCCACATCATGAAGTTTAACTCACAACAGCCAAAGATCAAGTGACCAACTATTTCTGTAGATTAGATACAGAGAGATTAAAAGATTCAGATAGATTAAGACCAACTTTAGGTGGATAAGTTTTCAGTGAAGTGTCTTATTTCAGGAGATAAGAAAAGTTTTTCTACATCCTATAAATAACAGTGGGAAAAGAACCTGAGTAAGTTATCAAACTTGACATCAGTTTATTAAAACTAAACTATATTATTTTATGGTGAAACTTCATTTTGCTCCCACAATGACAAAAGATATACGAGAAAAATGAAGACAACAATAACTCTGCCTATGATATGCAAATTTTTATAAACTAAAACACCCAGCTCCACCCTTCACGTCCCCCAAGCCTATCTCAGTAATATAAAATCTTAAAAAGACATACCATGTTCTTCTTCTCCAAACCACCAATGATCCTATCAATAGCTGCCTCAAAATGTTTCATTTTGACTTGGGTTTCCTCACCCCTTGCAGCAATCAGAGCAGCCTCATTGCAAACATTAGCAATGTCAGCTCCAGCAAATCCAGGAGTAAGGGCTGCGAGCCTTTGAGAATAATATGAAGGCTCATGGTCAAGCTTGATCTTTTTCAAGTAGATTTGAAATATCTGGTCACGGCCTTTAATATCAGGTTTGTCAATGGATATCTGGCGGTCAAATCGCCCAGGCCTAAGTAGAGCTTTGTCTAAAATATCAGGCCTGTTTGTTCCGGCCAGAACAACAACTCCGGAAGTAGTTCCAAAACCATCCATCTCCACCAACAATTGATTTAAAGTACTTTCACGCTCGTCGTTTGCCCCTGAGAAACCGCCACGTCCTCTTGCTCGACCAATTGCATCAATTTCATCAATAAATATTATACTAGGAGCACACTGCCTTGCTTCCTGAAACAAGTTTCTCACCCTGGATGGTCCAACACCAACAAACATTTCCATGAAATCAGATCCAGATATGGAAAGAAATGGCACACCAGACTCCCCTGCAGTTGCTTTCGCTAAAAGGGTTTTTCCAGTGCCTGGAGGACCCACCAAGAGAGCACCTTTTGGAATTTTTGCACCAAGTTCTTCATATTTTTTCGGGTTCTTGAGGAAGTGCACAAACTCCATAATTTCTTGCTTTGCCTCATCGCAACCAGCAACATCTTTGAAATAGACCTGAACAAAATGAACAGAAATGAGAAAAATATAGTCCCTTAATTGACTTTACAGCTAAGTTATTCACCACCACTTCTTAAAAGAAATAACTATAACTAAAAAGGCAAGCATGCCAAACGAGGGACATGCTGTTAAAAACAAATTAAAAAAACAGAGGGCTGTCTCATATATAGAAGAAAAGGAAATCTACCAACCTTGTTTTTGGTATTTTTGTCAACTTTAGTAACATGAGCTTTTCCTATGTTGAATATTCCACGAGCACCCTTTCCAGCACCACCACCACCAACACCTAGTCCACTTTGCATCCTCCTTCCCATATACAAGAGAGATCCCAAAAGCAACAGTGTTGGAGCAAGTCTCATCAATTCCATGTACCAAACCACATCAGAAGAATATGTAACAGGCACATAATCATGAGGGTCAATGCCTAATGCTTCTTGTGCTTCCTCTAGCTTCTCCTCAAAAGACTCAACACTTCCAATATTGAAATAATATTTATATTGGCCTCCAGAATCCTTTGCAGGAAGGGTCCCTTGGACTACTTCACTGTCTATTTGGTTACGGGGAGTGCTTCGTACATATACTTTGGCAACTGATTTATTAGAGACAACAATACGCTCTACTAATCCTGGTTCCAAAAGCTTGTTTTTAAACTCCTGAAAGCTAATCTGCGAACAATCAAATTCTTCTCCATGTCAGAAAGAAGATAACAAAAACCAAGCTAGTTTAAGACTTGCAACCAGATACTAGAAAGCCTATCCTTGTAGCACTCTTATTTAATGACGCTTAAACTATGCAGTCAATTGTAGCAGCATAATGCTCATCTCATGATTGATTTTACTGAGTAATATGAATTGAATTTGGTCCATTAATATAAAATTTCTTGAAAAAGGGTGGGAAAAAAAGACAGCAATCATAATAACATGATTTTCATTTTAGATACCATAGAGAGATACCAAAGAAAGTACCAGAGGAAGGTCTCCTCAAGTATAGTAGTATAATACAAGACACAAAACTCAAATCAAATCTCTCCTAATCTCCCATATATTTCCATTTTCTCCCATTCATCAAAAGATTCAAGATAAACGTGGCATATAGACTCTAACCAAAAAATGTTCATTTCTCACGCATTGGAAATATTGCACTCGCCATATAGAATGCATATATATTCATACATTTCAAGTTCTCCACTCAACCCAATTTCACCCACATAAACAAATTAAAACCACTACTGGCCTGGGTGATACATTTGAAGTAATGCTTACCTGCTTCTGTTCATTAGGATCATAAGAAAGGGAAGCAAAAAATAGCCCTATCACCAAAAATGGGGTGATTATTTTCTGGAGATTCTTCATAAAAGCTTCCTCAAAACCTCCATGATTATCTGTGTTTGTGTTTGAGTCCTCTGACATCAAAAGGATAATTCAAGTGTTAAAAGTTGTTAGTGGCGCCACTTTTATTGCAAGATAAACTGGAAAGCAGATATACGATAAATCATTGCAGTCCAACAAGAAAAAGAGAAAGACAGAGAGAGAGAGAAAATTTTTGGATTGAAACATAAATTTCAAAACACAAAATGTCCCTTCCGAAAATAGAACCTTGGCCATGGGCAAGAATTGAATCCTACTTGATTCTCCATCTTCTCATCATAAAAGAAGTTCATGCGTTAAATGCAATAAAAGAGTAGCTCGACACTAAAAAATCTAATAACAAAAAGATGAGCAAACCAACTCAAGTTCCAACATGGCAGAAAACTACATATAAAAATTATAGCAAATAAAGGATAACAAAACCCCCGCATGAGTATATATAAATCAAAACACACCAGTGAACAACGTATGAATAACCAATGTCTAAGTCATGAGAAAGGCATCCTTCCATTTTGCTCATTACATCAGTTGTGTCAATCACTTTCAAACAATTGGCCATGAATGCTTCCTAATTCAGAATAAGAAAGGGTGACACACCAGGTTTCTTTTTTACCTTTGGACTCATATTTTTTGTCATTTCCATTTGGAATTTCCTTCTTTTCCTTGGGATAGAAGTTCTCATAATCTGCCAAAAAGGAGAAATATTAATCAGAACACTAACTGAAGCACGGCACTATAATCCAGAAGCAAAATTGCTGAAAGCAATAGAACTTCAATCACATGCTAACGACCAATAAAACTTACTCTTCTTCTTTGGGGCTTCGCTGGAAAACAATCGGTGAAGCCTAGGGTTTGCGGCAACAGATTTAAAGTCAGGGAAATTGGAAACGAGGGCATTACTGCGAGCTCTGGCAGAAGACACGTAGCCCCTAAAAAACCCTAATAGCCCTTCGGCTTCGTCGGAATAGGCATTCGCACATGGCGCTCCGAGAAGGGTTCTCAGTCTCCGATCACCATGCGAAAAAATCTATGACCCATTTAAAAGCGTCGTCAAAGTTAAATTCTTTTAGGTTTGCTACGTAAAATTTTGCATTGAATTGAGTGAAAGAGAAACGAAAGCTTACTCTGGCGCGAGACGAGCGCGACAAGGAGCGCCCAATCCTTGAAAAATTCATGCTTAGAGGAAACAATGTTATCTAAGTGGAACTGAAAATCTTATTTAAAAGGGAAAATAGAAATTAGATCTGAAGCAATCAAAATGAGAAACAACTTAATCTAATCCTATGTCGCCACTGAAACGATAAAATTATTGTTGCTGTTGGTGTTGTATAGAACCAAAGGATAAAACATCATTTGCAAACTCGGTGGTTTAAAGCTGTGTTTGGCTTAGAACTTACGACGAAGCCTTCTCTTTATAACGCAAATAGTTTTAGCTTGAGGTCAACAAAGACGCACGTTGCCTTCGTTCTAAAAATTGTCTTGGCAAACACGGTACGAGCCCATAGATTTTTTCTCCAGAGAAGTGATCAATAAGGGGGAAAAAAACTAATCGCTCTCTACAAAATAATAATACGTATTAATTTATTTTTAAAAATGTGTGTTCAATTTTTTTAAAATTTAAACTAAATTACTCAAACAAAAAAATAAATAAATTGAACATGCTAATATATATTCTATCTTGAAATACTGAAGTTAAAATGAAGTAGTAATCAAGTGGTTGCATGAGTAAGTTAGTATATATAAATCGTTAGATATATATTTTAAATAATTAATATTTGAATTTTTTTATCTTTAGTAATAATACTAATTTTGGTAAATTTATGATTTATTCTTGTGAAAGAATTTGTAAAATTATTTTTTAGGTATTAAAAGTTATTGTTTTAGATTTTTATAAAATTATTTTGATAGTCATTTTTTATTTTTTTTACACAAATTTCGTATGTATCTTATATGTAAGTAGTTATTTTAATAATTAAAACTTTCACAACGGAATAATCAAAAGTAGCTTTTAAATTAATAGACATTGAATGTCATCTTAAAATTTTAGGCATCAACCTAAAAATATTATGTATATAATTCATAATTTTTATAATGGAAGTTTCTACATGCATTCTCGCACTTCTATTTCATTAAAAAAAAAATAACTTTTATATTAATAAAATGTTCAATGTCATTTCAGATCTTAGTTGTACCTTTTTAACTAAGTAACATAATCTACAAAATCTGCTTAAATCATTTTAATCTTGTTTAAACAAAAGTTACAGAAAAATAAATTATTTATTAGAAAAATATCACTTAACCTGTATTGAAAGTAATTTAAGAATATGACTTTTCACTTAAGTGAATCACTATTAGCTTAAACAAAATTGATATGACTTAAGCAAATTGTGCTAACAAATAATCCTTTCATTTTAGTTTAAATGAAAAAAATTGTACTTAAGTGTATGATCATCACTATATAAATTTAACTTAAACGAATATTGGATGACTTAAGTAAATTTTGTAGAGAATATTTTCCTACATTTCTTTAGATTTAACTGCATCTCTTTAGTTATTACCTTTGTTCCAATTTAGTCAATTTGTCTATTGTTAAGAAAATTGATATGAGTATATCATGTTTTTAAATTTAACTAGTTACACTTACAAAATTCACAATTTAAAATATGACAATACAAAAAGAATACAATTATTTGAGTTATTGGATTTGAAAAACATTTTTGCATATTAGGAGGGAGAAATAATATTCACATAAAATAAATCGAGCTTTTATGCTGCTAATTTAAGTGAAAATTATTTAATTTCACTGAAAATTATTTAATTTCATTCAATCTCTTAACTTAATATCTCTTTCTACTTATATCAACCATAATTACTAAATATATCGAATTAGTTGTTACAAACATAAAATAAAAAGCTCAAATTAACTTAAAAAGACAAAGATGAAAGACAATATATTTAAGAGAATATGAATGAATTTCATGTGAAAAAAATTTATTTCCAAAATTGTAACAGTGATATCTTTTCTAAAAAAATGTCTTAAAAAAACTTTGAATGATTAATTTTAAATATTTAATATTAATAACTTATAAATTATTTTAAAAATTAAAAAAATAAATATATAAAAAATTCATCTTACTAACTTATTTATGGATTATATAATACAATAACTTATGTTACTCATCACCTTAATTATAATAATAATATTTAATTACGTTTATGATAAAGATAAAGTTTAAAAAGTAAAGTCTTATTAAAATTACAATTATGTAATTTGAATTATTAAAAAATAATACCATCTATAATACTATATATTTCTATTTTTTTTATGTTTATGTCCTAAAATTATATCTCATAATTCGAAAAAATAATTAAAGATATTTTATTTAAAATGTTCAAAAGCCATTTCTCAGCTAGTTTTAACTAAAATAATAATTAAGATTATGATAAAATAATGACAGTTATATAATTATCAAAATTGTAATTTTTGATCTTGCATTTATAGTTTTACGTTTATTTTATAATAATAATTATTAAAATATTAAAAGTGAAATCTTTTATTAAAATTATTATATGTAATGCTATTAATTTTTTCTATATTTTCATTATAATTTGTAATAATAAAATTTATTGATAATTTAAATAAGTAAATAGTCATAAAAAAATATATTTTTTGAATTAGTCGTGTGAAAATTTTAGTTGATTTTAATTTTGTAAATTTTTTTTAAATAATGAATACCATTAACTGAAAGTTGTTAAATGATAACTAAGTAAACAATGTTAGTTATATGAAATGCTATTTTTTAAACATTGAACAATGTAATAATTTGTTATATGAAATGTTAGTTTCAGATGTAACCAAATTTAAATAAGTAATTAATTTTTAAAAAATATTTTTAAAATTAATATATATTTTTAGTCTTGTAAAATTCATTTATTTTTAAATAAATTTTACAATTATATATTAAATTAATGTTATTGATTTAGATGGCATTTTAAACCTCGGATTTGTCTTAGGAATATTCATTGAGATAGTATTATTTTAAACAAAAATATATATTTTTTTAAAATAATTTCAAAGTAAAAAAAATAATTGTATTATATGAGATAAGAAGACTTCTTACGTTGTATTTCCTTAAATTCATGAAAAAATTTTCATCAATAATAAATGAAGAATTTCTCTTTTATATCTCCAAAAATTCTTTCTCCAAGTAGGCAAATTTTCTACCATTATCTAAGACTTCTTAGAATTTTTTAAAACAACAGTTCTTCAACTCTAACATTATTTTCTTAAACATCTTTTTTTTAGTAAATTATGAACATCATTTGTAATTTTATATCTAATCTTAATTTAAAAATAGTGTAAAAGTAATTTCTCTTGTAAACTAAATTATTCTTTTGATCATTGCATTTTTTTTCCTCTTACTTATAGTTTCATCCAAACAATAAGAATATAATTTCATTCTATTGTAACAATAAAAGTAAGAAAATTAGAAAGTTTTGAAACATTGTATCCTGATAGATTTCAAATAATAAAATATTTTGATGTTGAATGTAATGATAAAATGTTAACTTATTTAAAATATTGAATAACTGAAAAAATAATTAATTTTAAATGTGAATAAATTTTTAGAATTAATTATTTGTTAAAATTATGTGGTGTGGTATATGAAACTAACATATATTACATAAAATATTAGTTGATTAATTATCATCTAACAACTATTAGTTAAGAGTAATAATAATATATTTCATGACTCACGTGATATCTCTAATATTGATTAAAATTTATTAAAAATTATAAAAATTATATGAGTCTCACTTTTTATTACTCATAAATTAATATTTGTCTTATTTAATTTTTAATAAATTTTAACTAATAATAAAAAATAAGTTAATGAATATGTTTGCAACATTCTTTAACACAAATTTAAAAAAAAATAAAAGTTTATAAAATAAAATTCAATAAAAAATTATTTAATTGAATAGCTAAGTAAAGATAAAAAATATTAATATAACATAGAAGTTCATAAATGACAAAATAAATTATACATATAGTTGTGTAAAGAATGGAGAGTCAATTTTGCCAAATAAAAAAAAAGTAACCTATCATATCGTGTATATAATTGTTTTCATATATGATTAAAAAGTATTATAAATTAAATTTATTATGTAAATATTTTAAATATTTGTATTAAGGTTTGATGACAACATTTTACTTTTATGAAATAAATAAATTGTGTGTAAAAAAATTATGTTAAAATTAAAATAAATGCACTTAATGTGAAATACATATGAACAATTTTATAGTGAAATAATAGACGTAATTTTGGTTAGCTTAATCTAAATCCAATCAAGATTGTGCAACTGAATAAGATGGGTGAATTTATCTCTGGTTAGTATATGACTAAATTGAAAAAGTGGTTTTTTTTATAAATTATAGAAAACGAAAAAAAATAAAATTATATTAAAGTGCATCATTATTATTTAAAAAAAGAGAGGAGAAAGCTTGAAAGCTAATAAAAGTTTATAACATTAATTTTAATGTACATAAACGAATAAATAATTTTAGATTAATTTAAAGTTTTATAAATATATTTTATATAATATAATTATATAATTTAACAAATAATTTTAAAATAAAATTATCTAATATAATTTAACTCATTTCAATATAATTTAAATTGTTTCCCTTAAATATTTTTTCCTTTCGGCCGTGAATTATACTCGATAATAATAATTTTTTTATGCTAGAATTTTATCTCGTAATATTCTAACAACAGTGAATTGTAAACCCTTGGTTTTAGGTCAACAAATTGTAAACTCTCTAACTTTGTAATCTAAAAAGTTAATGCAAAGGGGAGAATGCAACACTTTATAGTGGAGGAAAAAAGCATGCAAGAGCCTGGGCTCTGTTCACACACACGCACAAAAAAGCCCAAACTTAAAATTAAATTTATTGCACATTGAATGTGGTTGCTTATTTAACAATTTTTTACTATACAAATAATGCTAGGTAAATTTTTTGTATGTCATTTTTTTAATTAATCAGTATAATTTATTATTAATTAATAATATACCTCTGTAAATAAAAAAAGAAATCGTTAAAAGTATGTTTTTAATATTACTTCACATGATATATTATTATGTTTGTTTCAATTCAAATTTAGAAAAATTATCTTTTATTAAAAAAAATCTCAAAAAATTAATATAAATAAGTGATATTTCACAAAAAGAAAAAATTAACTAAAGCATGCGCACGCATACATAGATACAATAACATATTTATGATAGACACACTACGACATACGTTACAATAAGTTTCTAGAGTGTCGCAAGTTGTATTGTACGCTGTAAATGCACAAAATTTTCAGGTTTGGTGTACTTGCCATGTTTATGTATATTGCTGTGTCTCTCCCACAGAAAAATATAAAATAAGGTGTTATAAATATATTTTTTAAGGCACTTTAAAATATATTGAAAAAATAAATTGAAAGTGAAAAAATATCACATAATTTTTTTATAAATTTCAATAAAATTTATCTAATAATTTAAAACATGTTAGAAAAAATTGTTTGAAAGTATATTACCATTTACCAAATTTTTTTAAAACATAATATCGTAGTAATGTTTGAGTTTTTTTGTAGATAATAATAATAGGAGCAATGCTTTGGTCTCTGATGCCACGCCAAGTCTTGTTTTGAGGTGCAGCCGTTGAGGACGTAGAAGAGTTGTGTTGTTCAGGGAATAAAGGGTCCTATTTTAACACCCAAAATAAGTGTCTACATAGTATTTTTTTAGGGTTAAAATATTTTTAAAAAAATATTTTATGTAAAAAGGAATTTAAATAATACTAATATAATAAAGAATAATATAAAATAATCATAAACAAATATTTTAACACTTATGTTAAAGTAACATTTTTCTTATTTTACAGCAAAATCTTCCTATTTCCTCAGAAAATCAATTGACCATTCCTTGTGCAGCTCACATGTCTGCATGTGGGACTCCTCATTGTTCATATTCTCCCAAGCCGACATGGCCAGCAAAACCACTGTGAAAACCCAAAAAACACTTACGGATCCATTATTTCTATCCCTTTCTCTCTTCTTTAATAAATAAATAGTCTCTGTTTTGAAATAAACACTCTTTCTTTCTCTCTTGTTATCTTTTAGCTTAATTATATTTTTATTCCTTATCATGTCATGATATTTTTATCTGATCTCTTATTAAAAAAATGTTATTTAGTCCTCAAATTTTTCGTTCCCATGTAATTTTTCTACTCGGTTTTTGTTTGTAAGTACACACGTAACTTTAAAAAGTGAAAGATCAAATGAAAAATTATGTAAAGGAACTAACCAAAATATCGTAAACGTTGTTGATGTAAGAAATCAGAAAGTAAATAAAAAATAATATTTAATAGACAAAACTAACCAAAGGTTAATAACGATACTATATAATTTTTTTAAAAAAATTACAAAGATTAATTACAACTTTTAATAAATTAAATGAAAATTCATATTTTGAGGAACTAAAAAAATATCTTTTAAAAGGAAATTGTTAATTTTGTAAGGTTAATTTTAAACAACAAAAACAGCAAATTTTTACTTTAAAAATATTTATTATGTTGAAAATATAATAATATTACTTTTTAATTAAAAAATACTATTTTTATACAGTTAAAATTAATCTTAACTTAAGAAAATGAGGTTAACAAAATCATATTTTTCACTAGCTGCATTTTTGGGTACCTCAAAATTTGACTGTATATGCTGAATATATGCTATGCAAAGACTCAAATTTTACTGTCAATTTTTACTGGTGTGCAGCTAGTCAAGCAATTATTTTACACCGGTGAAGTTTTGTACCCTGTACAAATATTATAACTAGAAAAAGAAAAACTATTTTATTATATTAAATATGACTAAATCAAAGAGATAAAATTTTAAAACTAAAATATAATATATAGAAATTATTGCATTAAAAAAATTGAAAGCTCTGTAGGAAAAATTATATGACATAATGAAAAAAATACAAATACTTTCATTCAAAATAATTTAAGAACGAAAATTCACATTTATTGTATAGTGGTAGCTATATACCCAAAAATAAAAAGAAATTCTTTATATAATTTTCTTCAAAGGGAAAATCACCTTTAAAGTGAGTTTTTTTTAATTAAAATCTGTAATTAGGATATACGAGAACTTCTCCATATTATGAGTTTAAGAGACTCAGGAAATGAAAAGAGTAAAAAAAAAAAAAAAAAAAAAAAAGAAATATTCTAATATTTCCTAATCGATTTTTTTGAGGTCATTGTCTCAACCAAATAAATTGCTAGCTGTATTTCATTTCTCTATTTCAGTATTCCAAAAAAACACATATCAATTCCTTCACATGTTAAGTTGAGCAGGACTGTCTCGTTGAAAATATTCAATTCAGTCAATACTTTCAGATTGAAAAATTTGAAATCTGATAGCACTACTGTTCTAGCTACGTAAGTCATCATGTGCCTGTGAATCCATGCCTACAATAAATAAATTATCGAATACAATAATACGGGTATTATTGTATCCTAGAATATACTTTGCAGTGGTTGTGATTGTCACGAAATTATTGGCAGGATCGATTTGTAGGTTCTCCAAGTGATGCTTATTTTTCTTCAGAGTAGAAAATTTTGAAACCTATATCCAAGGTAAAAAGGAATAAAAGATGCGTTAACCGAATATATTTCAGGAAGCAGATTAAAGTTCTATGCTATTGCCGTGATGACAAGTTGATTGACCATTTTCAAAACCATCGATCTTCATCAAAGACAACGTGTATACAGGTTTATATTTATATATATTATAAGGGTGAGAGTGAAAATATTATTTATGTTTATATATATATTAAAACAGAGTTTCAAAACCATTTTCGTCAATGGCAATATATAATTGACAAACAAGAGTCACGTTCATACCAAAAAGATATGGATCATGAACACTGCTCCTAAGTAAGCTACTCATTATGACTCGTGATTCAAACACACCTTTTGACTATAATGGATATATTGCTGATTAGTGTCAAGGTTGATTCATTCATCCATGTGCAAATTCTTAAGCGAATTGGGGCACTAGTTTTGTGAAGTCATAAAGATTTGGAAGCTGCAGTGATAAGATGCTTGTAACGGGCACAAGGTGTCACAACCCTCCACATGAGAACCAGCCAACATTGACTGCAGTGGACAATTATAATAAGTGATTTCTCATTTAAGAACCGTACAAGAGGTGTGTCTCCGAAAAGCACAAGACCCTATTTCAACGGACAAGGTTTCCTGTATCACTCCCAAAGCCACTCATATCGACTAAAAGCACAAATTTTCCACTTCCAAATTCCAGCCCGGATAAAACAGTGAAAAGTAGGGATGAATAATTAAAGTGGAGAAAAACACAAGACATGAAGAAATAAAATGCTTAAAATGTTGGTAGTGCACTACTCAAATTTCAACATATCTTTGTTTATATTTTAACTATTTAAACTAATTTTCATAAATGTATGATGAGTAAGCATATGTACTTTGTGTATATTTAATATTTAATGATTTTGTTAATCTCAGTCCCAACTGAGTCTAAGCGCACATGAATAGCAAGTTTTTATTAAAAATATATGATATTTATTACATTTTTATATTTTTAAGATACTAAATTTTTTGTTTCAATAAAAATTTATAACTTTTTAGTTGTTTGTCTTCAGAGTTGATCAAGGGTAACGAAGTTAATATTCTCAATATTTAATTAGCTCATTATAACATCAAATCTGATCGAGAATTTTTTATGATCCCTCTATGAACCCTTTTTATACACTATCAGTCACACTTCAACCAACTTTCTTTCTTCTTTCCGATCATTATTCTCCTTTCCCTCTCAATCCTTGTGTACACACACACAGTGTAATACATAGCTAGTTCTAGATATTACAGTTCCTTTGTTTCTCATGGATGAAAAGTGGAAGCTATCAAAGAAGGAAGCAGGTTCAAGCAAACATGCAAGCACATCCACCAAGTCATTATTCTCAAGGAGTTGTTCGACAAGAGGCTCTTCCTCAAACTCACCTCTCTTGAGGAGCTTATCCCAAAAGAGTTCTTCCACATCCACAAGCAATCTTCCAAGGAGCTTTTCGCAGAAGAATCCATCTATAGGTCGGAAATGCACCAGTATAGCTAAGGAACACAGAGCCAGATTTTACATCATGAGGCGCTGTGTTGCCATGTTAGTTTGCTGGCACAAGCATGGGGATTCTTGAAAATTGCTCAGATCCCATGTCAGATTCTATGGGTATAGTTGCAAAATGGACATGTTGGTCTGTTGGTCTGTGTGATCTTCAAGTGATCTGGTTTTTTCTACTTCAAATATATTCGTTTTGTAATTACCAATTACATAAAGGTGAGTTATAATTAAGATTTACAAATTGGTTCAGGATCCTCTGGAAGCTTTAATGTGCTTAATCTCATCCTGACTCCATGATTCTGTCATCTCTCTTTATTTCTCTTTCACTATATTATTTGTGTTAAGAAGGAAAGATCACTTTATGGTAAAGCAAAGGAATATGAAATTGTTTTTTGAACGCAAAAGTAGACAAAAAAAAGTTGTCCTATGATCTTAAGAGTATATTTTTTGAAGTGTATAGTGTATATATGAATAAATAAAAATGTGAGAGAAAAAAATAATTTAAATGCAATATTATACCTAGTATTAAAATTTTCACGTACAAAGAATGAAATTGTAGAGATATTTAACTCATCTGGTTCAACTTACCATTATGTATTAGTATATTAGTATTTGGATCTGCATTGAAAATGCAAGCCACATTCCTTCTTCGTTTTTCCCATAAAAAAACAAAAGTGATCCCTGACTGTTTGGCTCAAAATGTTAAAACTTACCAGAGCTGAGTTTTAAAGTATCTTTTTGGTTTTAACACATTCGAAAGGGGAAAATTGCTATCTAACTTAGGTGCAATTCATAATTTCACAATCATAAATATTAGTAATACACTTGAGTTATTAATTAAAATTTATTAAAAAATATGTGGATTTGACTTTTCATTATTGATTCTTATGCATATTTTTATAATTATTAATAAATTTTAACAAATAATTAAAAATATATTAAAAAATGCGTTAAAAAATTTCTTACAAGGCACTCCTCTTTTGTGACAGTATAATTGTAACGATGGAATCTTTCTTTTTCTTTAACCCACCCCAACTCGTCCATGTTGTACACCAACCATTAATTAGGCTTTACTTTATAAGATTTCACGGTTTTCACCAAAATGTGAGTATAAGGAGAAATCACTAGTTCACTTCAAATATGAAGGCATTCACATATTGAGTCTCAATGTTTCGTGTAAAATTTTAAAGTTGGTGTCGATTCATTTATATGAAATCTTAATAATATTTACTGCCATGAATTTATACGGAGACAAAAGCTAATAAGATGTACTCATTTGCCATTAAATATGAATATGGTGTCTTGAAATAGCTACAAAACAAGACAAATATTAATGGAGGAGTTCTATCAGTTGGAAAGACCATCAACATCAAAGAACATTCTTGTGCGGCTTTAACATGGGATTATGCAAACACAAACGTTTGCCCCCAATAAAGATAGATTTTCCTAAATTCCCAATCACGAAACGACTTTAGATGAAGTCTGTTTCATGATGCACAAGCTAAAGCAGGCACTAGATCACAAACCAACTTTACGACACCAAAGGCTTAATTTTCAAATGTCCATTTGATGGTACTTGCTAACCGATAATTAACATCATCGCTAAAATTTCAGAACGATACGAACAGAACAGATATCATCAACTTTGAGAGTGAATGTGGGAATTGAACATGGATTAGAGTTTGGAATTAAAAAATAAATAGATTATAACTCTTATTGTAATTTTATGAAATCACAAAATAATAATGAGTCATTTCCAACTTATAATCTCGGGAGCTAGATATGACATGGAACACAACTTCAATGCAATATATAAAATTATTCTAAAATTAAAAAGTAAACTTTTTTAAAACTATGTATTTAGTCTGTATAGTTAATACTCGTTTGTAAATTAATTTATATATTTAAAGATTATATTTTAATATTTGTTTAAGCATTTATTATATTTTAATTTTTGACATTATCACCTAATTAATGATAAGAAAGAGATTAAAATATAATAAAATATTTATATAAAAATAAAATGTAAGCATTTTTTTATATATAAAAACTAATCTATTGGCATAATACCTATAAAAGTTATTTATATATTTTAATCAACTATAATTTTTAAAATAATACAAAATATTAAATTTAATTAAAAAATACTTGTATTATAATTCAATCTTATATTTATAACACACTTCATTCATTTCTAACAAAAAAAATTTAACTTAATTTTATATTTTTATCTTATTTTTATAGAAATTAATAAAATATCAACATTAACATTCTCATTATAATATTTTAATATATAACTATCTTAATTTTTTATTGACATATTAATTTCTTTAAAATATTTTAAAAAGACCTTTTTACAAGAAAAAACTTTTTACTATATTTGAAATATAAAATTACATCGTTATTTAAAACCTTACAAGATCAACTTTATTGTACCATTAATTAATTTTTATGGTAATTTCTCTATTAATTAGATATTTTATTTATAAAAAATATATATAAGTATATCTAAGTCATTTTGTCAACTATAATACATTTTTTTTGTCATATATAAATTATTATTAGCATTTTATTAAATATAGTTATTATTTTTTTAATAGTTATGTTGACATCTCAACCAGCAATAGGCATGATTCTGGATCATAAATAATAATTTTAACTTAAATATGAGTTTTTAGTTATTTAAAATTTATAATTCTTTTATTTGACACTTTTTTTTTATTTTTTATAAATAAGTTTATCAATTTTTTAAAAAATATATATATTTAATTTCTGTAGTTAACATTTATTTATAAATTAGTTCTTATACTTAAAAAATTTATGTTTTAATTTTTATATAGGTAGTTTTCTTATAACAACACGACTTAAATATAATAAAAAGTTTGTGTAAAAAATAAAATAAATTTTTTAAAATATCATTAATTCATAAATAAGTGTGAATTATAAAAACTAAATGTATAATTTAATAAATTTTTAATTATTCATATTTTAAAATTATGTATTAGTCGTTATAAAATAAAAAATGTGTTCAATTTTGAAGTATTGTTAGTATAAAGATTTCTATAGTGTAAGTGAACGAGAATATATAATAGATATGATAGTACATGATTAGATAGCAATTTAATTTTTTTATTTAAACTAAATTCATAAAAAAATTGTTAATATTTATCTAATTATTTTGCTATTTTAATTTTCTACAAATACAAAATGACGTCTTTAATTTTCTGTTATCTTCTTTAACCCTTTTCATTAGATTAATGTAAAAAAATAATTGATCAACAGCAGAAACAGAAAAAATACCATCTTAAAAAATTTAGATCTAATTCATTCTAAAAGACTAACTCAAAAGAGGATTATCTTAACCTTTAGTCTTAACCTTTATTTTGACTCTAATTTTAACTAATGTAAGACATCTTAATAAATACTAGCAATACATTCTTTAAAACACTCTCATTAAACAAACTATCTATTATTGACCAGAATATATTAAAAATTAAAAAAAAGTAAAAGAAAAAAAATTAACTTAAGAGTAAAAAAAAATAAAACTTGTATGATTTTTATAAGTTTCAGTACAATTTAACTAATAATAGAAAGTGTATTAAAAAGATAGTACTAGTAACACTACTATGTATTCTTTATCATAAAAGACATTATAACAATTTAGACAAGAGTTGATGACATAATAAGATGAATATGTACACGCATTGTCGTCCGATGATAGCACGAAAATTTGATCGCAAGAGAATAAGTAGATAGGCTCGAACAACTGAAAATAGGATTTGAATTGGGCACTCTATGGCACATCCAATCTATCCATCTAAGAAAAATCAGAAACGAATTATTCTATTAAGCAGCTAACGTCCAAGTTTTGTCCAAGTTAGCATTTTGACGAAACAAGAAATTCATGTACAAACAGAAACAGAAACTTATAACTACGTGGGAACAATCTAAAGGTGATGCGCCACCACCTTCCTCAGGCGCATGCCCGGTGCTCTCTGCCATTTTTTCCTCCTCCTCGTGAAAACCCAGCAGCCTTGAATGGCCGCTCACCCAAAACTTGAAACAAGTCATCCTGATGAAGTACTTCTTTTTCAAGCAGCAGCTCTGCAATTTGAGCTACTTTTTCCTTGTGTTCCTCGACAAGCTGTACTGTGCGTTCGTACGCTTTGGTCACCCATTCCCGCACTTCGCTATCAATGATTGCAGCAGTTTTGTTGCTGTATGGTTTCGACAGCTCGTACGAGCCCTCTTTCGGAGGGAAAGAGAGGAGACCCACCTTTTCGCTGAAACCATAAACTGCTACTTGGGCATATGTCATCTTGGTCACTTTTTCCAAGTCATTCTGTGCTCCTGTTGAGATTTTCCCTATAAGAACCTGCAGTAACAATGGATGGGAACCATCACTCTCACGCTCATGCCTTTGAAGGTTGGCAAGAATCAAGAACCAGATAAGAAAAAGCCATTGAACACGACATAGAAATCAGTAATGAGATTTACAGTTGAAAAATATGCGTAATGCACATGAACATGTTAAACTTTTTCAGGAAAAAGTTCTGCACTAAGTGTCATACAAGTCGTATTAAAAATCTATAAGAGAAAGACATCAGGAAAAGTCAAAAATACCTGCTCCGCAGCCCGACCACCTAGTGTCATGCAAGTCATATCAAAAAGCTGCTCCTTTGTCATCAGAAGATTCTCATTTGGAACATATTGGGCAAACCCAAGAGCTGCTGTGCCACGAGGAACAATAGTTACTTTCAGCAAGGGCTCAGCGTGTTCCAAGAACCAACCTGCAACAGCATGGCCCGATTCGTGGTAAGCAACAGTGCGCCTTTCCAGCTTGCTTATTACCTGAATAAGAAACATGAGTATTAGAGACTCTAACAAGGTAATGGAAAAAGTAGAATGAGAATTCCAAATTTCAAATAGTTCAACATTTTCAATTCAATGTAGTGAACAAGTTTCCACATCATGAAGTTTAACTCACAACAGCCAAAGATCAAGTGACCAACTATTTCTGTAGATTAGATACAGAGAGATTAAAAGATTCAGATAGATTAAGACCAACTTTAGGTG